CCAATGACAATTGAAACCATCCTGTCGGGATTCAGTAAGGCTGGAATAATTCTAACTGGAAATGATGCTGAGTCCGACGACAGCTACGCAGAAGAGGAAACAAAGCTCCTTTTACGTCGATGGATCTATGGTTTATCTCCAGAGGTCGAGAGTCGCACAGAAGTGCACCAGGGGTTGGTGTTTCCTGGTCTTGATTTTCGCTAAAATACATCTTCGATTTTATAAAAATACATTTCGCCAAAAAGTATACTGTATTCTTCTTCTTCTTCATTGCACATTTTTTGGCTGGTGCGACTTATAGTTCAGAAAATACGGTATTTGAAACATTATTCTATCAACACAGACATTCACATCGACAGTCTGGTGTAATAATAGATTTGCTTCGGGTGTTTTGTGGAGTGGGTAAGACTGTTTTTAGTGGTAGGATAAATTATGGCCATTGACATGCACTAGTCTAGCACAGTGACAGCCTCTGCAAATATAAGGACTGGATGGAATATTTAAAAATAAAAAAAAAAAAAGTGTCTCCACACGTCTCCATCACTCTGGCTCACTAGGAAATGAGGTCCTATGTCCAAAACTCCGGACTGTCCCTTTAACCTGCAGATAGACACATACAAGTTTTTGCTGGGATTTAGGTACCGACCAGTCAGATCAGAAAGAGGCGTTTTAGGGTTACGCTTTTAGTTAATCACAGTAAATAAGCATTGCAGTTTTTAATAGTCAGTTTAATATTTGATTTGGACTAGAGGAAAGAAATACTAGACCAAGACTAAACCATGGAGATACGGACTAAACAAAGCAGGATTAAACCACGTGCAAACCGGAACTAAAACTCTTACGAACACAATGCTAAATTTCATATTTTAGGAAAACATCCAAGTAACAACTCTACCGTAGCCAATCCAGCGCGCATCCAGTGGCCACATCCCACGGCATCCCACGTCGCTCCTTCGGCTTCCAAAACGCGCTGCACTGCTCTTTTTTACGCTTTATCTCACTCTGCACAAGTCTATCCACGCTATCGTAAGACCACACTTAACGCAACGCGAACTGAACCGCGAAAAATAGCCAAAGTTTTACCGAACTGGTGCCAAACAGCGTGAAGAAATCGAGATCGGGTTATTCCAACGCAAAAGACGAAACCAAATATCAGATTTAGATGAAGCGTGTTGAGTTTTTGATGCTGCAAACAAATAAAACCGATTGTAACAACACCACGTAGGTTTTATCCAAGATGATTGAGTAAAGCGTAGTCCAAAAGCGTAACAGAAAACGCTTCAAATACACATTTCGATGCCACTCTAGGTCGCGCGCACTGGCGATTCTCTCCAAAAACTATCCTCAGACAACAATTTGAGTTAATATTTTCTTAGCAATGCGTAATTTACCTTATAATACGGACTCCCCTCGCTTCATTCGCTCCTGGTTCCGAGCGATGCCAAGCCCACGGGAGCAGAGCGCGCGCAGCAGCGGCAGACAGCGGCACCTCACAGCAGCCGGAGACGCGAAAGAACCCGGTCTCCAAGAAGAAAGGAGAGGAGAGAAAAGAGGAAGAAAGGAGGGAGAGAGAGGGAGAGAGGCAGGTACGACACGCCTATAGACCACAACACTGCGATGGACTGGGGCTGCATGCAAAGTAGCCAAGAAGTAGTGCCACGGATAGGGCTTAAAATAGACCTACGTGTGAGAGGGGTTGGGGAGAACATTGTAGTGTAGGGAAATTAATTGAGCAGGATGGTATGTGTAAGTTTTATAGTAGGTTTGGGTGGATTTTGTGAATGAATTTGTAAAAAATGTGTGTATTTTATCGTACGAGTGTCATATTCTGGGCGTTCAGGGGTCATCAAACTAAGGCCCGCGGGCTGACTCCGGTCTTCCACGCGTCTTTGACCGGCCCCCAAGCCCCTCTGCCCCCCACCACTTGAACTGGTCCTATGAGGCAATCCTCAAAAGCTTTCATTGCCTTTTTTTTTTTATTATTACTTTTTGTCAAATAATAACACATTTTCATCTTGTATTTGTTGTTTTTTTCAATTAAAATGATATTATATGAAGTATTTATATCTATATTTAAATAATTATATAACATATTTACATTTACCGCAGAATTTTCATCACTTTACATGCTCGAGATCAGTTCTATAGTCCAGTTAAGGTAGGGGTCGCCAACTTTTTCCTACACTGAGCTAACTTTACTAAACAAAAATGCCGGAGAGCAACTAATTTTAGCGGTCGCAAGAATTTGAGAAAGAGCCAATGTGAGCCTTAGATGGGGTACAGTTAGAACAGGGGTCTCCAACCTGTAGTTCGGGAGCTACCAGTAGCTCTCCACCCCATTCCAAATGGATCACCAAGGGATTTCTGAATTATACGTATTGCGCTGAATAAGTAAAATTTGATTATTTAAATGCCATCACCATTGCACATGTATCATTTTGATGCCTAACTTTGTGCACTAATAAATTAATAATGGTTTATGTTTTCTAAGCATCTAACTGTAAATCATCTAAGGCTCGATGTGGTTCTTATATTTACTCAATTTCTCATGACTGCAAAAATGAGTAGCTCTCTGGCATTTTCTTTTTTTAAAAAGTAGCTCACCGAAGGAAAAAGGTTGGAGACCCCTGAGTTAGAAGCTTATAAAACGTAAACAGTTATCCATACATTAGTGCAGAAGTTAGGCATGAGAAATAATAATTAATAAATTTACAATGAATTACAATGAATGAATGAATAAATAAATAAATAATCAGATTTTAGTTATTCAGCACAATATGTATCATTCAGAAATCCCGTGGCGAGCTACTTGGAAGGGGGTGGAGAGCTACTGGTATCTCCCGAGCTACAGGCTGGAGACCCTTGCGTTAAGAGCAGCAAAATAGTGAGAGTTAAAGTGTGAAAAGTTGACAGAAAGTGCCAAGTTTTCAAAGAACGGCGGACGACTGATTATTTTTTTGTTCAGCGTAAGGACCGTGCAGTTTGTCTAATGTGTAAAGAACGTGCAGCGGTTTTCAAAGAATATAATCTGCGTCGTAAGGGTCACACAATTCTGTTATACGACCGACCAGATCTCGGACCCCCATCATGGTCAGGAGCGATAATGTGGCCCCCAGAGAAAAAAAGTTTAGTGACCCCTGACATAGATATAAGGCTACATGGGAATATAAAAGAAAGTACTATGATTTAATGTTGAAAATCGCATTCTCTTGTCTAAAAAGAAAGATTTTTAATTAATGTTGAAGCACCGGAATCATATTGTGTAGTGTGTAGTATCAAGGCTCAACACTATGAGCAGTCAGAATATGATGAGCAAAAGGCTGGATGTTTTGCAGTACATTGAGAAACTTGTCTGTGTTGTATTAAATCATCTGTGTTTTTATTGCTCAGCCTTGAAAACCATGTGTTTCTGTGGGCGGGCTCGTATCTCTATAAATCTGACTCATAACTGTCAATACAAAGCAATAAAATCTCCAAGAAAGTGCCAAACCCTCCATCTGAAAAGTTACACACTGCATCTTTAAAAGGTCCTATATAACGCAGGAATTTACTCTTGTGAGCTTTAAGACGTGTTAGAAAGTTGTGACCTCAAAAACAAACTTGGATTTCCATTTTGTTTCATTCACACATGTTTGAGTAACCCTGTATTATTCTAGCCACGTCACCTAGTGTAATTTCATTTCTCTCCAGCGACTTGGTCAGGAATCAGAATACACCAGACGGTTTACAAGAACTCCGGAAGTTGTAGACCGCACACCGACCAATCAGCGAAGAGCTGTGAAGCCATGACTGGGTCCCTTTTGTGTTACAGCACAACAGGGTCCGGTCAAGTGGTAACGGAGGGAAACAGGGGCAGATTTTTTACATTCAAATATCTCTTATTCAGAAACTAGAGGGACTATTGAAATAAGTAAAGTATCAGAATGTAGGAAAGAGTTACACTCCAACAGGGTCAAGTTAAACCTGTGATATTCTTTCAAGTTGTTGACAAAAAATTTAAAAACTCATGTTGGCAACAGAGGGAATGAAATATGCAGCACTTTTTGGGCAATAAATACCAAACAGTGATAACTCTTGGTTCTCACTTACATATCCTTAACAAACTGGTTTGAATATTTGCTTCATATAGTTTTCTACCATATGGTACAAGATTAGGTTGAAAAACCTCTTACTTTTTGAGTCATGAGATTTTTTATTAAGAAAGGTCATGGTAACGGAGGGAAAAGTAACAGAGGGAAAATTGTGTAAGCAAGTAGAAGGTGCAGGATTTTGCATAATTTCAAAAGTCAGCTTTTTTCTTCCAAATACTTTAATACTACTTCAAAATTAAAGGTAACTATTTATATAAAATATGTCAGTCCTTCCAAGCAAATTTTTATCATCCATCCATCCATTTTCTTCCACTTATCCGGGGCCGGGTCACGGGGGCAGCAGCCTAAGCCTTTATCATTTTAAATACTTTTTTTTTTTAAATCATGTACTTTCATCAACAGTTCAAAGATCGAATAACACAAGATATGATGAAATACATCAATTTCTTTACATGATTTGCAGGTCTTTGAAATTTGGGAAATAATTTTTGTTCCATGTTTCATACATGGTCTGTTTAAAACATATGTAACTTTAGAACCAAAAATGGTACAGAAAAAAGGTCAACAGTTTCATAAACTAGAGTACATATGTATCTGTTGAATACATTTTTATATCAGATGCATTAACTTGAATTTTTGGCCTTGCTGTTTACTTCTGCTTGACCGGGCCCAACAGTAAACAAAGTGGTCGAGATGGATGTAGACAAAGACATACATTCTGTGTTGGCAACGATTCCCGAAATTGAGGATTTAAAGCCAGTGAATTTTATCAAGGGGAAAGATGTTACTGCCCTTCTTCCTACGGGATTTGGGAAAAGCTTAACATACCCATTAGCCCCTTTTGCGGCGCATTACAGACGTCACAACCAAATAGCAGCGATTGGTTAAGTAAAAAAAGTACCCACCTACCGTCAAGCGAACGAATCCTAATGCTGCGAGGTCTGATGGTTTCCACAACTAAGTTAACATTTATATTTTACCTTTAGTTTAGTAGAGATTTGCAGTTCCAGAGCTGAAACCACCCAAATGGTTCTAGTGAAGGTGTATATGTGAGGGTTTCATCCTGCCCCTCCTACCCCTCCTTTCCCTGCCCCTTCTCTCCTTACCTTATTTGGTGTTTCCTGGGCGGATCCCAATCACGCACCTGCTGAGCTCCACTCCTGATACACATCAACTAATCATCTCCTGCCATAAAAGACCTGCGGACCTTCTCTTCAGTGCCAGATCGTTCCGTCATTCTAGTGGTGAACAATTTAGGCTTTTTGTATGTTTTTCAAGATTTCTGAAAACTTTTTTGATACTTGCCTGTTTCTTTTTGTCCTCTCCCAGCACTTCCATTTGGAGCCAGTCTCATCCCATCGCCACCTGTTTCCATAAGCCTCTGGTCAGCCTCTGGTCAGCCTCCATCTCCTCGTACTAGTGATGGGCAAATAAAGCTTTATGAAGCATTGAAGCCTTTCATCCAATTGGTTCACTCTAGCGCAAAGCTTCTTGAAGATTTATTTGCTCTAGCAGGACATCTACTGGACACAAAAATATCAGTTGACATGAATTTGAAGTGTGTGACATTTTGCAGAAAGCCTGTGAATAAAACTGTCAGTAAAATAAAGAAGTATGCAAAACATGTATATTGTAGTGTTGGCAGTGTACTGTGTATCTATATACTGGCAGTATGGAAAATGATTATTTGAAAGTGATGAAAATGGAAATCGCAGCAAAATCCGAACCATTTCCTGAATTACTCACGTGGTACAGCCGGGCAGCGATGTTTCGGACGTCGTCATTTTCAGCTCCTAACCTAAATGAAGCAAGCCTCAATAAGCGCATCGTACCTCCCATTTGCAGCCAACCTGGACCCGTCCTGCCTACCCTGGAATCTAGACTAAACAAGACTATTTTTGTTAAATACCTTTTTTTTCTCTGCATATTTACATCTGACCAGTGATTCATAACGGTATAAAGTTTAAAAATACAGTGAAGCATTTCCTGTATTACCACATGACATCACAAAATGGAACAGAGAGTTTGTGTGTTAAACATGTGTGAATGAAACAAAACACAACTCCAGGGGTGTTTTTATTATTATAATCAGTCATTGAAGAAACTGCAACAAACCAGAGATTTGCTTTGGTGATTTGGTGCGGACATAACATAGGTTCCCCGACGTACCACAGTGTGCTGCAGGAGGTGAGAATGGACTCAGTAATGGCCGTGTAGATGTGCATCGTCATCTGGACTGGAGCTCTCAGCTGCTCTCCACAGGTCGTCCATCGTCTGCTGGGCCTTCGTCATGAGGGAGCTGGTTGACGGACATTAGATTTATCATCCATAACATTGCAAAACCAGGGCCAAACTTTAACTTTTTGACTGCAGCAATTTTACAGTACAGTTGTATTGTATTCATTTGTTTTAAAGGATCTAGTTTTGCAGGAACCGTTCATACAATTCTGATTATGAATTTCCTAAGCTTGATCTATGTGTGACCCCAGATACAAGGGTTTAGATTTTTAGTGGTGCTGTTATCAAAACCGCACTAACTGAAAAAACCCGTCTGAGACGACAGGGTCCCGAGACCAGGACAAGATCAAGACCTCTGAGGGTCGAGACCGAGACTTTTAAAAGCCGAGGTCGAGACAAGATCGAGATCATGGCCCATCAAGACCAAATGGAGACCATCTTTGTAATTTTCGACATTTATTTGTATTTACAGTTATTTTGGCACATTATCTGTTACATAAGGGTGAGTTGTTGTACAGTTGTAGGGAGTATTATCTGTTACATAAGGGTGAGTTGTTGTACAGTTGTAGGGAGTAATTATCTGTTACATAAGGGTGAGTTGTTGTACAGTTGTAGGGAGTATTATCTGTTACATAAAGGGTGAGTTGTTGTACAGTTGTAGGGAGTATTATCTGTTACATAAGGGTGAGTTGTTGTACAGTTGTAGGGAGTATTATCTGTTACATAAGGGTGAGTTGTTGTACAGTTGTAGGGAGTATTATCTGTTACATAAGGGTGAGTTGTTTGTACAGTTGTAGGGAGTATTATCTGTTACATAAGGGTGAGTTGTTGTACAGTTGTAGGGAGTATTATCTGTTACATAAGGGTGAGTTGTTGTACAGTTGTAGGGACAACTTAATCTGCTCACTTTAAGTGTATAAAATAAAATCAATCAAACTTTATTTATAAAGCGCTTTTCATACAAAAACGTAACACAAAGTGCTTTACAGTGATTAAAAACAATCCCACATTTCCATCCACCCACCCACTTACCCAACCCCCACACCTGCCCGACTCCACACAACCAAACAACCCAGACACACACACCCACGCACACACACACACACACACACACACACACACGCACACACACACACACACACACACACACGCACACACACACACTCACACACACACGCACACACTGGTAAAATACACATAAAATCACCTATAGTAAAATGTGAGGCTGAATACAGGCGAACCAGTTGAGAAAGCACCATCAGAGGAGCCGTCTACACCAGGAGCAGAGAGACGTCCACCTCCACCAGGAACCACCAGGGTCCAGGGGAGAGATGAAGCCCAAGCACCAACTCTCCACCAGGAGCCCACGGGACAGAACCCGGCAGCCACAGCCGACCTCTGCTCCTGATGCAGAGGCTCCTATAGAGGAAACACTGGAAATCCTAAAAAATATGCCTAAAATAAATAAATATAATAAAATGTGTACAATAGAAACAGGTAAAAGTATAAGAATTTAATCAAAAGCTAAGCTAAAAAGGTGGGTCTTGAGCCTGCTCTTAAAAACATGAACGTTCTCTGCAGCCCTGAGCTCCTGAGCTGATACAAATGATGAATGTAAGCATATTAGGCATAATTTGCGCTGGATATTTGATTTGGCATTAATAAAAACATTTAAAGCAGCAGACTGTCCCCCTTTCCATGTTTGATAGAGCTTCAGAAAGCAAAGATTCCCATCCTGCGGGACAAAATATCGCAGATGCAGGTGGGAACGGGACTGAAAATTAAAATTTTTTGCAGGAGCAGGTGGGAGCGGGACTGAAAATTCTGTCCCGTGCAGACCTCTGTTGTAGGGAGTATTATCTGTTACATAATGGTGAGTTCTTGTACAGTTGTAGGGAGTATTATCTGCTGCATAAGGATGAGTTGTTAGAAAGTATTATCTGTTACATAAATGTGAGTTGTTGTCCAGTTGTAGGGAGTATTATCTGTTGTTGTACAGTTGTGTGGAGTATGTTATGAATGAAGTCCTGTATCTCTCACTAATTTGTAAAATATGTAACACTAACCCGGTGTTATTTTCACGTTTAACCCCTCGTGTCTCTGTGGTGATGGTTGTTTCAGGCTCGGGTGAAATACTGATCAGTCGCTGTTTGTTTGTTTGTCATTTATCTGCTGCCCTGAGGCTCGCACAGCGGTGGTGCTAACGTCTCATCTGCGCTAAATGGTTTCTCTCTTCTTCAGGCTCACACAGGATCCTCTCACGTTCACAGAAAACGCCCCTCTGAACACATCTCTAAATAGGTCAAACTGTCCGTCACTCGTCCAGTCTTCCCAGTAAAGACGCAGCCCACTATCCACACATGGAAATAGGCTTAAAGGGCCCATATTACACCGTTTTCAGATCTATGTTAGAATGTTTCTTCGTCAAAAACATACCTGGAAACTACTACTACGTGACATGAGAAGAACTCAGCCTAAATATGCACGATTTGTAAGTTAAACATGTGTGAATAAAACAAAACACAACCCTAAGTTTGTATGTGATGAGGAAACAACATTATAACATCAGAAAATAGCATAATATGGGCTGTTTATTTAAAAATGTGTCTAAAAATGTGTTTTTCTTTTGCCCAAATACATGGAGAAAAACAGTACGAGCTTTGCCATCACTTAAAGATCCTCTATTTTCAATTACTCACTACATTTGGATAAAAAAAAAACAGACTTGATATTACCTGATAGACATGAGTACTGCATTAGCCTACATTACCTCTGAGTAGTTTTCAGATATTATTACTTAGTGTTGTAGTCAAGACCGCACCAATCGAGACCAAGACCTGTCCAAGACCACAGGGTCCCGAGACTGAGACAAGACCGAGACCTCTGAGGGTCCAGACCGAGACAAGACCAGGACTTTTAAAGGTCGAGACAAAGACAAGACCAAGACCACGTCACATCGAGACCAAATCAAGACCAGCTTTGTCATTTTCTACATTTATTTGTATTTTACAGTTATTTTTGGCACATATATATCAATGTTTTTATAAATCTATCCCCATTTGAACTTATAAATATTCATTTAGGCATAAAATAAGCCAAGCAAACAGTACTGCACTTTAAACACCTTCTTTAATCCCATTTCCACTGGCACTTTACAGAAAACTGTGAAGAAAGTGGGTAGGATTTTTAACCTTTTTTTTCAAGTTTCTAACTGGAGTCACATTCTTTTACTGGTTTTGCAGTGGGATTTAGCCTCTGCATTTATCAAACACTTCGTCATGACAAATACAGATGCATTTGTGCACTTTTATTAGGCTTCAAACAACTTGTCACGGTATGAAGTTAATTGCCGACAGCAGCGGCCGTAATGGAACATGATCGCACTCGTCGAATGTCAGCACTGGAGTCCGAAACAAGACTGAGTCCAAACTAGGGATGATTAAATTTACTTAATCGATCGTCAGGAGACTTAACGATGGATTATCCATTAATCATTAACATTTTTTATATTCAATTTATCATCATTATTCTTACTATCTGCACTACTAATCTGAATAAATAAATTCAGCTTTACAACATATAAACCGTAACCACTCCATACCATAATGTGTTTAATGCAGCTTTGCACAACTCTCACAGAAACAAACCTTAAAACCGCATGGCTAATTTGCATAAACTAAGCAAAGAAAAAAAAAACAGCTCTTGTGGCGACATGACTCAGTGGAATACAGGTTAATGTGACCAGATTTGCGTTTGTCAAAACCAGGACACCGTACGGGGGGAGGGAGGTGGGGACTTGTCAT